TAATATTTTATTTAAATAAACTTTTATCTTCTTTACCCAAAATTATTCGCTAATAACAAAATCAATTCGTTGATCCCCTATTCATTCTAATCCACGCAAAAACAAAAATAATTGTTATCACCAATTAAAATACGCTCTCCCGAATTTAATCGGTGACACAATCAAGAAAAGAATTATCTTAAAATCAACCATTGATATCTTTTTTATTATTATTATTTTAGCAAAGCGCACACAAAACTTTCAAAACAATTTAATGTTATTTTATATTAATATGTTTTTCCCCTCGGTATGTGTTTTCTGTATATATATGGTTAAAATTTGTGGCTTTGGGTGATCGCGATAATGCTAATTAATGAAGCAATCTTCTTTTCATAATTGATAATAATAAATGTTTCAAAGATGTCCAAGTGCTGTTATGTGAATTAATTCTGTGTTTTAAAAAAAAGAGAAATTTTGTTATCGTATTCTATGAAATTCTAGAAAGTCAATCATTCCAGTATTTAGAATTTCCATATTTAGAATATTCCCTGACTGAAGTTTATGTAAAAAGCCTATATTATACTTTTTGAACAAATTAATACGTAGATCATTGTTTAGTAGATTATGAAAATAGGATTTTCAACAAAGGTCGATCCCCAAATTTGGTAATAATCCTGACTGAACTTTTTTTACGTGGTCTTGCATACCCAGTTTAATAATTATCCGAGGTCCTACCATTACTTTACCACAACGTCGATCATTTCAACATTAAAGCTCAAAATTATTTTTGCCTTTAGGTTTTGCTCAAAATATACTACACTATAATTATAATTATGTCATAACACTCTACATTTTCCTTTTTATTGAAAACCCAAAAATTTATGTCCAAATAGAGAAAAGTTTTGTGTATGCTAATAACACTTTAGTCATTTTTGTAATACCTAAATTTGAAAAAAATTGCCTTTTTAAAGCAAAAAAACTAAAAGTTTATAGCGTTAGTTTCTTTTCTTACGTAAAGTCATTAATTTTCTCAAGCTTTTTACTTTTTTTTTTTCTCATAAAAAAATAAATTTTGTTAATCCACACATTTTACAATTATTACTCGTCATAATTAAATATTATTTTAAAATATTTTAGAATTGTTACTATCAACTAATAATTAAAAGAGCTCGTTAGACTTTGTTACCAAGAGCTCTCGAAGGTTTTTAATTTGAACAACCTTTATCCGCCATTTAGTTACTTTCAGTAAATTACCAAGTTACTACTGAAGATGACTAACGACATAGTAGTTGGTGGATATTGGTTAGTTGAAGACAAAATCGGTGAGGGTGCCTTTGGCCAGGTCTTTCGAGGTATATTATTTATTTATTCATTTACTATTGTCATATGCAATTCTTTAATTATGTGCTTAAAAATGATTTCTCCTCCTGTTAATAGCTAAACACATTATAACAAAAGAATTATATGCTCTTAAAAGAGAAGAAACAATTGTTTACAGTCCTCAACTACCAGATGAATACAAGTTCTTAAAATCATTAGAAGGACATGGTAAATTTTTTTTAATAACTTCGAATATTCAAATTACCTTTTCATATTATGCTAATTGATTATTATGCGTTTATTAAAAAGATCATATTCCTAAAGTTTATTGGTATGGTGAGAAATTGGGTTGGAATTGCATTGTTATGGACATGTTAGGCCCAAGTTTACGTATGTTGTCAAAAGCATTCTGTACTTTGCCTGTAGATTTCGTAAGCAATGTTTCAATTCAAATGGTGTGTATAAGATATAAAATAGTATACATAGATATATAAATTTATTATTATACGGATTCATATAATATTACCTAAATTTAATTATTAATTATTTTTATATTTGTATATATATATAAATCAAATGATTTATATATATAGGTAAAAATTATGGAATATGTCCATAGTAAAGGAATCATTTATCGTGATATAAAGCCAGACAATTTCCTACTCGAAAACAATTTTCCGATACCTTTAGATCAGCTAGCAGAACCAAATATATTTGATTTAGTTAATGATAGCCCCAGATCCAAAAAAATCCAAATGCTGGTTGGAAGAAAATACAAGACTTTTCTTGTTGATTTTGGACTGGCTGCATACTATATCGATCAAAAAACAGGAAAGCATATACCAAAAAATAAAAAAATGCTAAAAAGCAAGACCGGCACCGCTCGTTATGCCAGTATTAATGTTCACAAAGGATATTGTAAGCTAATTAAATAATATTAAGCGCTTTTCTTAACACCGCAGCAATCAATAATATTAATACTTGTATTTATTAATATTAACAATAACAAAAAAATTTAATACTGTAATTACGTTCTGTGTTAAAAAAATTTTTTTTTAATAGGTCATACTAGACGTGACGACATGGAATCATTGGGCTATGTTTTCCTTGAGATGTTAAATGGCTCTCTCCCTTGGTCGGGGATTAGAGCCCTTAGCTCTCAAGAAGGGTGGGCAAAAATGTTAAAAATCAAAAAAGACACATCCCTTGTCAGATTGTGTAAAGGATGTCCTACAGGATTTCTAAAGTATCTCGAGCACTGTAGGAAGCTAAGATACGACGAAAAACCGAATTATGATTACTTGAGGAGCATGTTGGTGTGTGTATCTATTCCTTTTTATTAATTAATTTATTAATGTAATAATATACTTAATGAATTTATTTATATACTTAGTGGAACTACAGGAACCGGCCCTGAAGCTGAGTTAGTGGCACAAGAAATTGAATGGTTTAATGGAAAACAATCAACATTTACTCTTGGTGGAGGTTTTTCCCCTCGATATCAACAAAACTATGACCACATTTCTGGTGCAAGGGAACGTTCAAACTCATTCACTGTTCCATCCAGAAATGACTTATCACCATCACGCCCAAGAACATATTCTTTGCCATACAAAGATCCAGAACATGTTGACAATAATATCCAGCCTAACAACTATAATAATCGTAATTCTAGAAATTATTACCTTCATAAAAATCATCAAAGTAAAAAATATACGAAAGGTTGGTTTACTCCAAAAAATCCTGTTGATATATGGAACCAACAAGTTGCTAATTTTGAAAATGCATGGAAAGAAGTGGTCAAATTTCAAGTAAAGTCTGAGGAGTGAAGAAAAAGACAAAGGCAAGAATTATTAGACCAAATTAAGTGGTTAGAAGAAGAGAATGATAATCACAAAGAGGTTAAAGACTCAGTTAGAACAGTTAACTTCTCAACAAGTTGCTCAAATTGAAGTTAAAGAGACTAAAAGATGATTTTGATTGAAAATAAAAGGTAATTAAAAAATTAACAAAGTTGAAAAAAAAGTAATTATTTGTTTTATCAAGTTATTCTGCCAGTTTTCTTTTTTTTCTTGATTCTTTACTAGAATTCTCTAATACTCTTTTGAAAACTCTTTCCTCTTGGTAAATTTCATAAGTAATCTTTTCTTTGTCTAAATATGTTTGCAAAGATTTGGTATCTGCTAATTTAAAAATGTAAGGAGCAATTTTTCACCTTGTTCCTTTTTCAAAATACTTCTAATGGTGCTGTAATTCTTGGGTTCCATAGTAGATCTGATGTAAATGAGTTTCATATTAACTATTTTTGTCTAGATGAATATCATGATCACATTACATTGATAATACAATTTGTGATGTTAAACAAACATTATTGGTCCCTGAAATCTTTGGTAATACCAATGTTCACTTTGTCTGGTTTTGTTGCAGCATGCCCCATTTAAGATTATGTAAATATTCTATGTCTTTAGCAACTGATTTAACTTTTGTTCTTGATTAAGTTGCAAATGCCATAAAAGTACAGCTTCAATATCATCAATTGATTGACCATTATTAAAGATTTGTTAAAACTTTTGCACAAATTGATTGGGTATACAATGACATTATATCATAAACGATATGGAGAGTAATAAGATTAGTTAAAATGTTTTTGTTATGTAAATCCTAACAACATATGTTAAATTTTCAAGTTACTTTGACTAGATGGATTCAGGACCCTTTTTAATCTTTGTTGTATAATCGATACTACTTTTTTGTTTTTATCAAGGCATAATCTACTATGGCAAATTACTCCAATTATTTCTAAAGGCTTCTTTCATCTTCGAATAATGGACACAATCCTTTGATAGGGATTCAACACCAAAATACTCTAGTTGATATTACTGTAATAATAATAAAATGTATGTATACAACGTTGCATTAATTAAATTTTTTCTTTCCAAAAAAATGGATCGGTATAATCAGCGATTATTATAATTATAATTGATATTAATAAAATAAAGAATAAATTTACAAATTTCGTAATATAAGGAAAAAGATTACTGTTACGATGATCGACATGACACGGTGCCTTGCTACCCTTAAATATGGAATGATTTTCAAGTTATATATTTTTTTTTATCTCAAAAAAAATGGAACAAAAAATAATATCAGATTCAGTACCTGCTGTAATGAAGAAAAATAAGAAGCCGAAAGTCTCTGAAAATGTAAAAAAAGTTAAAGAAAGAATCATTCATTCAAATACTTTATTACAACTTTACAAGGGAAAGGAAAAAGGTTTGATGATTTATTTAAAAAAATTCATAGTGTTTTCTCTAGTACTTACTTTTGAATACATTTAAAGAAATGGAACAATATACAACAGAATTAGCAAATTTAAAAGAAAAATTATCAAAATCAGATTCTCAACTTTTTGTTCTTAATAAAGAGAGTGAAATCTTTCGACAGGCTGCTCAACAATATAAAAAAGAAGCAACTGATTTAAAACAACAATTAGAAGAAAAAAACACACAATTAAGAAATCAAAAATTATTAGATGATGATATCCAACAACTAAGAAGAGAAAATGATGAATTTAGTAAAAAGATACGGGTGTTGGAGGTAAAAATCAATTAAATGAAAACATCACTATTAAAATTAGTAACAATCACGTTAAATATTTTTTTTGCTTGTGGGAATAATTGGATTTATTGTATTCTTTGAATTTATTTTTTTATTTCTATTCTTACAAGACTTTAAAAGGACGATTGGAACATAAGATTAATGAGAATAAATTAGCTAAAATGCTGAGTGAAAATGAAAGGCACGAAATAATAAAACTGAAGAAAGACCTTGAAATAAAGTAAGTGCGTTACTAATGCTTGTATACTGATAGAGCAGATAATTCTTTTTTTTTAATGCTAGGTTAAAATTACTTAAATAGCCAGCATTCATCCATTTATTTATCATTTTGTTCTGGAAACTAGCATTATACATTTGATACACCATGGCAGGTTCACTAGTATTGCACTTCCTCTAGATGGGCCTAATTTATGGTTGATAAATTGAAAATATTATTATAATTATATAATTATTATGATATTCATTGCTTAATTCATTTCATTTGTTTTATTTTAAACAGAGATGAAGAAATCAGAAGAAACCAGTCAGAAGCTGATAAAATCAAAGATGAATTAAAATTATTAAGAAATAGTGAGGAAGAATTACAGGATAAGATATTAGAGCGAGATTTTAGAATTGCAATAATGGATGAGACTATAACAGAAAATACTTCAACAATCGCCGAATTAAATAAACAATTGGACATTGCACAGACTACATGTAATTAACGTGAATGCCTGCATTTTAGTTTTTTTTTTTCAAGGATTAAACATTGATTTTTGTTAACAGTTATTAATGGAAAATTAATAGGTCTTATTACTGAACTAAGTGGATCAATGTGTTTAATGTCATTTTTACGACAAAATTTTACACTAGAAAAGTTTGATGTTCTGACGAATATCTTGAATGAAATTATTTGTGGCTTGGACACACCTATTTATTTAAATATTTATTCAAATATCATTGATGATGAGACCAAATCATATCCCAGAAAATCTTCTCTGAAAAATCCTAATGATATAAAGTTACCTGTTATTTTGCCAGATAAAGAAAAGGATATTATATTATTTTTGGTTCATCTTATTTCAGAAGAATACGAGGTTTGTTGTTTCCACTGTACACAGGATTTTTATTTTGTTATCTTTATATTATTATCCTTATTATTATCTTGCATGACATATAATTTCGTTTCATTTCATTTATAGAATGAATTTTTTGAAAAAATACTATTTTGGATTTCCGATAAAATTATTTCATACAAAGATGAAAATCTTAACCTAGGATATATCAGGTGTGCATTTAAATTAATTCATATATTATTATTACTTAGAATTTCCTAACCGCTTGAATATATATGTCTATAGTCGATTGTGTAGATTATTCGTTGCAATTTGTCGAACTTTAAATGAAATTCAACGTGTTCGAATATTGTGTTATGATATCTGCCGAGAAAAAACAAATAACAATTTTGTTCTTTCCATCCTTGCCAATACAGCAGTAATTTGGCCATGTACCCTCAAAATGCCAAACGATTTTGACTATGATGTTATAGAATCACTTAAAAAGGGTATATATACATTTCATTTTTAATCATACTATTTTCTGTTTTAAAATAAAATTTACTCATATATATATGTAAATCATACATAGGCCATTCAATATTTTTAAATATTTTTGAATGTATTGCTGTAGATTGTATAAAGGAAATAAAAGATTCAAATGTAAGTATTCGATTTATTTAAATATATTTTTTATTTTCATTTTTATTTTTATTTTAATCAATTGAGAAAAAAGACATTCAATCAGAATTTAATTCTATAGATTTCTAAATTAGAAGAAACCTTTACAAGATTTTGTTCTTGGAATCAAACACATGAAGTTCCTTCATTGCAGGAAATTTTTGATAATTTAATTAATTTTGTTAGCTCACCAGAATTTCATGAATTTTGTAATCAAATGAATAATATGGATAATATAGGTAATAATTATATTATTATATTTGTTGTGAATATGTATATATTAAAAAAGTAAGCAACTATAATCATCTTTTACTATTTTATATTTATTTATTATTATGGTTATCAATTAATTAGGAAAATCCAACATCTTTCGTTTTAATCTTTTAAAATCCATTGAATTGATTTCATCTCGGTTGCAATGTGACAGCATACATAAAAATACTATTATCTCACTGGTAAAAAAAATAAACAATAGTTAAACATTTAAGTGTACGGTTTTATCAAGTTCCTTTATTAACTAAAGCTGCGCATCTTTACTGCGAATCAAATTTGATTGTTTTATCAATATATCTAATACAAATAATAAAATTAATAATATTAAAACAAATAAATGATAATTATGATGATAATAAATTATAATTTGCTAAATTACAATGCTTCAAAGACCTCGATAGGTAGTAAATCAATTTAGTTGTATCTCTTTTTTTACTCTCCCATTTTCTTGCATTTAGCACATAATGTGAATGTGGCTTTATTTCACCTATTAAAACAAGATTTTACAATTAAAATGGGCGTTTTGCCATTTTAAATTTCTATAATCGAAACTGATTCGGAAGTCCGGCTGTTAATTAATTTTCTTGTGATAATCAATATAATGAGAGGTTATTTAAATATAACATTAAACCGTGGTTTTGAAACCGCAGTTTATTGATCATATACTTGAATCTGATTTGTCAATTAACAACCACGATTTTAATACAATTGGGGCATGCTTGGGGTCCAGTATTATGTGTTACAAATATATGAGAATATTGATTTTCATTGAGAATTTTTTGCTGATTTAAACCCTGATAACTTTTGAAGGAAACAATTTTATAAGCTTCAAATTAAAGATAAATTGAATTATCATTAAACAAGAATATGGAGAACTTTTTTTTATTTTCATATTAACTAAGGTAAAAAACAAAAGTAAAAACCTAATTGTTACTAAAAAAAAAGGAAAAAAAGGGACCCATATTCTTGATTTGTAAATATTATATACAACTATCTGATATATGAAATATTGTTACATATAGATTTAATTTTTTTAAATAAATCATAAATTACAATTTACAGCTCATTCATTATCCACATTCCTAATCAAGATATCATTATGTTTTAACAATTTCTTGACTTTTTCAATAGGAACCTCTTTACGATGAAATATTCCTGCAGCAAGTGCTGCCTCAACACCAGTGCATTTAAAAACTTCAAGGAAGTGAGATTCATTACCAGCTCCACTTGAAGCAATAATAGGAATCTTTACACTTTTTTTAACATCTTCTATCAATTCCAAATCATAACCTGAGTTTGTACCATCCTTATCAATACAATTCAACAAAATTTCTCCTGCTCCCATTATCTCACAAATGGTAACTAACTGATAAACATCCACATCTCTTGTTTCCCTACCACCTTTCACTGTACATTGATACCAACACCATGTTTCTTTATTTGGACCTGGATACTTTGTTTTGATCACATGATGTGGAGTTTCTTCTGGGCTCTTGACATAAACTTTTTTTGGATCAACTGAAATCACAACTGCCTGTGATCCATAACCCTTTGATATCAATTCAATTGCTGTACTACCATCCAAACTACACCCATTCTTCAAGTATTTTTCTACAGCATAAACAGCATCACTACCAATTGATACTTTATCAGCACCTGACCTAAAGTATTCACCAGCTACATCTAGTGCTGAATGAAATTTTCCATCAGGATCAATAAAATCTCGTATCCCACCACCAATTGTTAAAGGTACAAAAACTGTTTCTGATGTTTTACGTAAAATCTCCAACATTGGTAAATCTGATAATGGAAAATTTCTATATGATGTTATATTTAAAAAGGTGATTTCATCTGCACCCTCTTCAAAATATCTACGTGCCAAGTCAACAGGCTTACCAAGATTTCTTACTCTACGTGTCACTTTTATATTATTATTGACATCAATAACATTGTTGTCATTATCAATATCTTCTCTTACATCATATTGATCACCTTTGGTGACAACTAAATCCCCTTGATCATTTGTTCTAACGTCTAAGCAAGCAATAATTCTTTTTGTGAAATGGTCTTTTGATAATAAGACAGGGTTTATTTTAGTTGCAGAATAATTTTTATTGGAATTGTTGTTTTTGTTGTTGATAGAACTAATAATATCTTTTTCCAAAAAACTTTTTAATATCTTTAATCCAGCTTTGCCACTTTTTTCTGGATGAAATTGTGTACAAAATATATTATCTTTCTGAATTGAACTTATGAAAACCTCTGATCCATACTGAGTTGTTGAAAGAGTCCATTCCAGAAGTGAGTTAGAGTATGGTACGGCATAAGAGTGAACAAAATAATAGACATTATTATTTTTTATACCAAAAAGATCACCATTGTCATTATCATTATCATTATCATCTTTCAATAGTATGTTGACCTCATTCCATCCCATGTGAGGCACTGATTTCTCATCATTCTTGTCAAATTTCTTTACGATTCCAGGTATAATACCCAATCCTGATACACCAGGGCTTTCTTCAGAACCTTCAAACATTGTTTGTAATGCAACGCATATCCCCATAAATGGTTTTCCTGAAGAGATATATTTTTTTAAAGGTTCCACATATTGTTTTGCCACCAACGAATTCATTGCACTACCAAATGCTCCGACTCCAGGAAAAATTAATTTCTATTTAATAAAAAAAATTTTTTTTTGGTGGGATATAATAAACAATTCATCAGTTGATAATATTTAATTAATCAAAAAATTAATTGTTGATTTCGGTAATGGACTTACGTCAGCTTTTAAAATATCAGTCGGTTCTTTTACCCATTTAATTTCAAAGCCTAATCTATTCACAGCATTCACTAAACTACGAACATTACCTGCACCATAATCTAATAAATATAATTCACTCATTTGGGGCAAAGTGAATAAAGTGAGTGACACAAGGAAAAAGATTATCGTTTTAAATGCTATCGCCACTTCTATTTAAATCGTAACCTTTTTTATAATATTAAATAGTCAATCAACAAACATGGCTTGAAAAAGATAAACTTTTGAAAAAAATTTTTCTGGATATTCTATAAAAAAATATATTTACAGTCAATCCTCGATAAACCGAACTTTTGGGAATCACAAAAATAGGATCGGCTTATCAAAATTCGTATTGGTTGTAAAATATAAATTTTACAAATTATTCTAAACAAAAATATTTATCTAAAGATTGTTACGCTGAACTATTAATCTTATGACTTGATGTTTTTTTTCTAAGAGTACGAATGCACTTTTCGCATACATCGAAATCACTTAGAGGGTATACTAAAAAATTTAATAAATCCCATTATGGTATCTGTAATAGAAATTCCTGGAATAAAGGTTTCATCCCGTTGCTCATCTATTCCTGTTTGTTGAATTAATGCAATAATGTCCTCATATTCCATTAATAATTCACCTACAACCATGTTATTCTCAATATTTAAATACTCGTCCGCTAAAAGTGAATCATCAAATGGGAGTTAGTTAATTAAGTCTTGAACTTCTCGATTTTCTCGTTCAACTTTCAATTTCAACATTATCAACTTCAATATTATTCAAAATTCTAATTTCATTAGAACATGACATGGTTAAAGTATATAGAAAGTAGATCGACATTATTTTTAAGCCGAATTTTTATCATTATAAGACGAATTTTAAAACCAGTTTATGATCATTTTCGGCTTAGAAAGTTACATTTTTATTATTTTGTAGAAATTATAAAAAAATTCGGTTTAACGAAATAATTTTTATTAAATATGATTCGGTTAACCAATTTTGCATCGTTATAAAGCGAAAATCGATCTATCAAGGTTTGACTGTAGTTGAGTTAATGATGTATGTCGAAACTTTTGACTTTAGTCATTGGCGTAACTAAAGTATTGACTAAAGGTAGTTTCTCGCCAGGGCTATTTTGACTATTTGACTAAAGTAAAGACCTTGACGCAAGTAAAACCACCGACATAAGTAAAAACACTTGATACAAGCAGCAATAATGATAATGATAAATAGGATCATCAAAAGTTCCAAATTATGTAAAAATGCGTGCCCGGGGGCAAATAAAGAATTGTCATTGTTGCATGTATATTGCAATGATGCAAGGAGAGTAATTCATGGGAAGTTTACAAATGTTATAATCTGAATTAGAAATTTCATTTAATTAAACTGATTATATTATTATAATTAATTAATTTTTTTCCCGTATATTCTCTTTCAAAATAAAAATGCCTCTTCTTTTTTACAAATTAAAACTATTCTTTATTATAAGATGAAAAAATCAAATTGTTAACTTGATATTTTTTCGAATTTTTTACCTACGCGTAATAGTAATAGTAGTACGCAATACAGTTAAACCTTGTTATAACGGATTTTGTTATACCGAACAAAATCTTCCCTATTAAATAAAAAATTTCGTTATAACGAATTTATATAATAAACCTCGTTATTCCGTATTTATATGAATATGCCAATTTTACAAACAACATAACCACAAGACTTCAGCGAAATCATTACCTTTCCTACCGATTTTATCTTTACATAGTAGTTTTGATATTACACCCTGTGTTTAAAACGACCATTCCGAAATTATGTAATGTATTTAAATTCCCTGGGTCATGTAAACTCCCCTCCCTACTGGAAGGGCCGCCAAGGTTTATATGTTTACCCAGGGGATAGATGGTATATTTATAAATTATTTTAACATGAGTTATTGATTCTAAAAAGTGTGCGCATATATATTTATCAGTTTATAACCATTAAAGAATTTATATAAAATATATATGTTTCTTTTTTTCCAATTGTTATTAATAAATTATTGTGGTCAATTGCAAAGATTGTTAATTGCGGACATTGCAGACATTAAGTATTTTTTTAAACGTTGCAACATCGAGAGTTGCAGCACCTTAATTGCGGCACCCATCTTTACAATTTACTTCAATCACGATTCACCAACTTTCCAGTTTTCTCGGAATTTTCTTTTTTATGTCATCTTTTTTATTGTTGTTTAATTCCACTTCTGAGCCACCAGTTTTATTTTCTGATATAATAGTATCATCGGACGAACCAGATAATAATTTACTTGTTGAAAGATTTATAATACTTTAAGACATCTATTATTATAAGAACTTCCAACAAGAAAGATGATGATTCAAAAAACTAAAAAAATAAATTTTATACATACTCGGACGTGCTGAAAAAATCTTGAGGTCGACCCAAAACATTTTAAACATACAGTCACAGCAGATGAACAGGTACATAAGAACATTCTATTTAAAATCTGTTGTGGCAAGATTACTAATCTTGCCACAATGGATTTTTATATGTTTTTAAATGTGACAAGAATTTAGTTATAGTCTGCTGTGACAAGGTTTGACTGTATTTCATCTTTGGAGTATTTGAACACAGTATTTAACAACCATATTAGCAAATTTGTATGATGAAACTTTTGACTTGGTCAACTACTTGTAATAGTAATGCACAATAATATTAATAATGTGCTTGAGCATCTGAATTTGAAACACACATAGTAATAAGCAAAAAAAACTCGAAGCACTAATTGGTAAAAACACGTTTTTATATAAATACTAAATGATTTAACAGAACTATTAAAAATGAATCGAGTTTTTATGATCTAAAAATTAGAACTGGACCAGACCAAGATCAAGTTAAAACTTTTAAAGCTCATTTCTACAATTTTAAAAGCAAGATCTTCTTACTTTAAAGCAGCTTTATCAAATGCACGGACTAAAAGATCTGATTTCATTTGAAAAAGAAGTTCTTTTAACGTAAGAATATAAATCAAAATATTAACATAGAATTATATTTATTTTAGAAAGTCATATGTCAATGGAATTATTATAAATTTTCAGACTTCTTTGAAGTATATGATAAATTAAACTTTAATAAATTAATTGATGATTTACATGCATTAAAAGATTGGATAAAATTTTATTTAAAAAATTTTTTATCTTTGCAATTTTAATAATATTTGGAAAAAAAAAAACCATACATCTATAATAATATTACCAATTAACCCATTGAGGTTTGAAATAATCTGTAGCAGCTTTAAATCCTTCAAATTCATGTACACAATCACTCTCTGCTCTTTTTTGCAATGCTTCAGGCATCCATTCCTGAATCTTTTTGATTCTGGTTTTATTGTTAGGATGTGTACTTAAGAATTGTGGTGGTGCATTCTTTTGCGCAATGCCCATTCTTTCCCACAACTTGACTGCTTCTTCTGGATTATAACATGCATGTGACATAAGTAACAACCCTATGTAATCTGCTTCTACTTCACATTTACGAGAAAATGGCATCCTATTTTTTAATTAGAATAAATGTTCTATTAAATCAAGCAGTGATACATATCATAGTATAATATATAGCTATAAATAGTTACATACATTAAGCCAAGTTCAAAAAACAATCTACCAATGAATCCAGGGTCCATAAATAGACTAAGAAACAATTGTCCTAAAATTACAACTTTTATGAAAGAAAGTTTTTCAGCACTATGTCTTGCAATTTGATGTCCAATCTTTATAAAATAATAGAAAATAAAGTATTTAATAATATGATTATTCTAGGAAAAAAAAAAAAAAAAGATTTCTGAAATTTAAAATTAAACCTCATGCCCTAATACTGCTGCTAAACCATCTTCATTTTTAACAATTGGTAATATTCCAGTAAAAACAAAAACTTTTCCACCAGGTAAAACAAATGCGTTTTTCTCTGGTGAATCAATCACATAAAATTCCCAATTTAAATCTATTGTTTTTTAAAAAAATAAATTATTAAAAAATAAATTTCTAATTATTGAACCATCAATCTTATATATATATACACACACACCATTCATTCCACTAACTTTTACTAGATCTTGAGCTACCTGCCTTACAAACTTGGTACGCCTATCCCACAATGGTAATATTTTATTTGAATATTTTTCCATTACTTCATGATAGGCTTGTTGTGATAATTTTTCTTCTTGTTTTGGACTCACATCCATAAAACGTCGTCTGTTAGTTATAGGCACCTTCTCTAAATGACTTACATAATATACGCTAGTGAGTCCGCCAACTGCTCCAGTATAAATCCAAAATATCCTTTTTTGATAAAACGGTATAGAATTGGAAAATCTTTGATATTGAGAATGTTTTGGGTATGGTGGTATTCTTTGAGGAAATTGTATGCGTGAATAATCATTAGGTACTTTGTAATAATGTCTTGCGTTATTTATTTTATTTATTTTAAAGATGGTTTTATTACTATTAGATAATAGTAATGAAACATTGGAATTACTACTATTGTAGAAACAAGTATACTTCAACTTTATATATTTTGAATTATTAGTAACTTGGTGGAAATCACATAACGGAATTGATGTTATTTTTGACGTTATTGAAGCCTTATAAAATGGAAAAAAGAGTGTTGTAAATCTTTTTGATCTGAACATTAAATTATAACTCATTTTTATTAATAATAAAGTAACCAACTATCACTGTAAAAATGGATCTAAAAAAGCATGATAGTTCTCTTTATCACAATGTGACTATCTTGAAATTATGCAGTGTAACTAACTATAATTTTAAAATCGTCAAAAAAAAAATGTGTAAATAGAAAAAAAGTAGTTTCTACTTTTGACATCTGGTGGGGGGTAATTTTCTTGGGCTTTTACTAGAATCAAAGGAAATCAAATATTAACTTTCACTCTATTAAAAAAATACATATTCCTACTATCATTAGGCCTTACTATTAGGTGTAAAACCAAGAACAGATTGTTGTTTAAACTTATGACAGTTGATGTCTGTGGAGTTTTATTAGAAGCAAAGAAGAAATCTATTTTTTTAATATTATAAATATACATCCCAAAATGTACAAAGGCAGTCAGCTGGAGAACTAAACTACTTTGTACACCTGCCTTCCAACCAATAAGTAGTGTTTGTATTCATTCGGATTTATTCGGACATAAAAAGTATAAGAATTTTGAATTTCCACGTATCCTTTGAACCTTTTTAACCCATGGTGAAATTTTTATATAGTGGAACAAAGCAAGTATACAATTAAATATGACTTTTAAACTGATTTAAAAAAGTTAGTATCACACATGTAATTAATATACGTAGATAGGGTCGCCGATAATACATATAGAGGTGTCACCAAAATTTGATCGACATTAATTCCCGACTTGAAAAAAATTTCTTTATACTGTATATATATATAGTAAATTTTCAATTTTCTCTATATTAATAATTAATAATGTGTTTGAATGGTAACCGATTGGTAAATGTCATTTTGATATCATAATAAAATTAATTAATGAGTGGCTTAGATGTGGTAATGTATGATAGTAAACAAACAATTAAAACTGTAATCCTTATTTTTAACAGATTTTTATTTTTGTTATTAAAATTCTTAAAAAAAATTTTTTTCTTTAAAATTAATGGATGCCAAAAAAATTTTTAATGATCATGATCAAATTTTTGATCAAAATAATTTAATAAACAATGATGATGATGGTGATGATGATGATGATGAATTAAATCTAAACTCTGAAAGAATTTTATTAATTCAACCAAAATCAACAATAAATAATAATGATGATAACAAATCAAGAAAATATGCGGAAACACCTTTACCCAAATTACCATTACTTATATTAAGTATAGTGATTATTAGTGAGCCTTTTAATTCAACTATTTTATTACCTTTTATTTATTTCATGGTAATTTTTTTGGAACTCTAAAACTTTTTTGTTCAGAAACAATTAGAAAATAATCAATGATTTTTATTTTCATTAGGTTCGTGATTTTGGTGTAAGTGATGATGATAAAGAAATTGGTTTTTACGCAGGATTAATAGGTAATTGTAACAAAAAAAAAAAAAAAACCCCCACATATCACAATCATCTTTAATCATCCAAATATCATCATTATATTCATTCGTCCGTCCATTCTTATTCCGATTAGCATCATCTTTTTTCTTTGCACAATTCTGTTTTTCAATATTTTGGGGTCATATGTCTGATAAATTTGGTAGACGTCCAATCCTTTTATTTGGATTATTTGGAAATATGGTGACTTGCTTTATGTTTGGTCTTAGTAAGAATTTACTTTGGGCTATTGCTTCTCGTTCAACTTGTGGAATGCTGAATGGTAAATATGAAGATGTTCATTTTTTTTTATACACATTTATAAATGGCATTACTATATATATTTTTTATAGGTAATGTTGGTGTTGCAAAAAGTATGTTGGGTGAACTAACTGATAAAACTAATCAAGCAAAAGCATTTTCATTGTTTGGATTTTGTTGGGGAATGGGCTGTATAAGTGACTATCAATTATGTTTATGTTATATACATATATATATATATATATATTAATCATTTATTCTTTTTTTTTAAAAAAATTACGTTATAGTTGGTAAGATTTATTAAAAAAAATTTTTTTTTGAAATTTTCAAAAAGTATTATTAAAGATATTAATTATATAAATTAGGGCCTGTAATTGGTGGGTTTTTATCACATCCTGCTGATAATTTTCCAAAAATATTTGGCAATTGTCCTTTCCTAAAATCATTTCCATATTTCCTTCCTTGTTTTGTTGCTTCAATTGTTAGTTTTACTGGATTAATTATTGGATATTTTTATTTACCCGAGACACGATATACATACAATCATCAAAAAGAAGAAGAAAGAGATGTTGATGTTGAAGATGTTGTTGATATATCAAGTAGAAAAAATTTGAATGGAAATAATTCAATAATCTCATACGATGCTACTGCAAATGTTAATTCTAATAATAGTAATTATAATCAATCACCTAAAGGAAATAACATTATGCAATCATATATTGAAGATGATTCACATTATCCAGAAACACCTTCATCTTCGAATCTGCTAAAGGATTTGTCAAAGAATGATGTCACCAACATCAAAATGAACAACAAGCAAAGTTTTATTATAAAAAATGGTAAAGAATCAGAATCAAAATCAAAAGCTAAAGTCAAAATCTTACCAGTTACATTTAGGTGTATAACAAGTTATGCAATAGTTGCATTTCATACAATAGCATTTGATGAAGTTTACAGTTTATATGCGGTCGCGGAAGTTAAAGATGGAGGGTTAGGTTATTTGTCAATAAAGCTGGCTCAAAGTCTGGCTTTAATGGGAATTGTTCAATTAGTTGTTCAATTTCTGATTTATCCTTGGTTAAGAACTAAAGTAGATTTGATTAAATTATATCGTATAGTATTAATGTCTTATGTTCCTTGTTATTTGTTTTTTCCTTTATTGAATCAATTAAAAAAATCATTTATGGATCTACCACCTGAATCAAAGTATGATGATGATGGAGAAGAAATTGCTTGGATTATATTATTGATTGTATTAACTATTAGATTGTTTATATGTGTTATCTCTTTTACATCAATAATGATAATGGTATTATTTATTATTTACCACTATAATTGATTAATTGATTATATTCATTTTTCTCTTCATCTTTCCCTTCCTATAAATACACTGACAGGTTAATAATTCTGCTAGTCATGAAATACTCGGTACTGTCAATGGAATAGGTCAGGCTTCTGCAGCATTTGTTCGTACTATTGGTCCAGCATCAAGTGGATCTTTATGGTCTTGGTCATTGACAAACAATTTGGACTTTCCATTCAACAATTATTTTGTATTTATTGTAATGAGCCTTACTTCTCTAATAGGATTCATTCAAAGCTTCACACTACCACACGAATTAGGAGAAATATAGTACAACATATAAATAAATAATTAGTTAATTAATTGGTTTTTTTCAAAAAAAAAATTCAAGACAAGAATTAGAGTATCTACATAGTATCATTTGAGGCAGATTTGCTTTAAATAAAAGAATAATTTGAATATTTGAATATTAATTAAACTTTGAGTTTGCCCAATTTCTTTCAAAATTTACTATAACAAAATATACCCTTTAAGTTTATTATACAATTTAAATTTCTTAAAAAAAAAAATAAACAACTTCAATATATATGAGCGTGCGAGGTTTCTCTGAAAAAAATTCCTTTCTAAAAATAAAGCGTCTTGATAAAATTGCTTTGTTACTCGTATATAAGCGCTAATAAGTGACAAAATAAAATTTTGAAATAAAGGATTTTTATGCCAATAAATATAAAGGCAAGTAGGACATATTGGTAAAGCTCCGAACTGTTCGGTTTCGGTCTTTTAAAAAAAAATTTTAATTTTTTATACTCAAACCTTGTTTCAACAAAGTGGCTGGACATATAAGAAAATTTCATTCAAAATTCGTTGAAACGAGATTACTGATCGTGCTTCAACGAATTTTTATATGTAACAAGATTTTTTTTTTTCTTGTGAAGCCATTTTCTCATATATTTATACCTCGGTGTTTCATTTTTCTTCACTAATTAAAATTTTTAATAACATTTTGTCGTAATTCGGGGTTTTTCTTATCGCGAAGATTCCAAATATGTGATCTTGTTGTGTTTTTATAAGCTTCGTTGACACTTGAACTACGCTTTTTAAATATAAATGATTTGATTTTATATATTTTATAATCCACATTTAATATTTACTTTTTTGTTTTTAATATATATGTTTTTTATATATTATCCGATTCTATTAACGATCCGTATATAAGTGTGATGCCTAGAAAGAGAGAGAATAAAACATCTATCTATCTCTATAATTGTCACCAGTTACGAACTTTCCTAAAGTCATTAGGATATATATTTTTTATGAAAACAAAAATTACTTTATACATTTTTCAATTGGAAAAATTAATTACATGTCCGCCGAACGAATTAGGAAATTGATATAACTAAGGTATTGACTAAAGGTAGTTTCTCACCAGGGCCATTTTGACGATTTGACTAAAGTAAAAGCCCTTGACGTAAGTAAAACCACCTGAAGTAAGTAAAATTGCTTGATACAAGTAAAACACTTGATACAAGCATTATCAAAAATTCCAAATTATGTAAAGATGTGTGTTCCGGGGATGAATAAAGAACTATTATATCATTGTATGTATATTGCAAAGATGCAAGAAGAATAATTATCGTGGGAGGTTTACAAATGTTATAATTTGAAGTACTTATTTTTTTCCTGTGCATTTTCATTTAAATAAAAATGCCTCTTCTTTTTTACCATTCTTTTATTATTTATTACATTTCATAAAATGTAAAAAAGCAAATTGTCTTTACATATATATGAGTTGTGTTAAATTGACTTGGAAGTTAGCTACGCGTTATAGTAATATTAACGATATGCTTGAGCTGTCTTTGGTATCTGAGTTTGAAGCAACATAAGTTGATCAATATTGGTACTTAGAATGACCTTTACATAACACATAAGACAGGTTTTGGTACATATTTTACAGGTTTTAAATTTGTTTTTATCACTTTTAAATCTTTTTGAATCACGATAAATCGATCACTAGAATTTGGTAATGATGAAATTGTTCTTTAAATAATGCAATTTTCGCTTTTCAATCAAATTAATCCTATTAGAGAAAAAGGAAATCAAAAATATGTTGTACGAAAAATTTGTCATTCAGTTCTCCGCAAAGAAAAACAAGTCTTTAAATGAAAATGTTAACAGTGAGTTTCGTGAAATATAGATTAGCATTATAGTGCAATGATATTCTGACGTCATAATATTATAAAATCACATGACCAAATCACATACACATATATTTGTTCGGAGCATCAAACTTAGTACCGGATGTGAAGTATCTTAGCATCCTATCATGCATTCATGATCAATTATGCAATTTTAATAAAATAGACATTTGTGGCCAGATGGTGTATTGATCGAGTAGTCTAATAAATTACCACAAAAAGATATATAAATAGGCCCGCTACCCCCCAAAACGGTGCATTGGTTTTGCTTTTTACGTTGCATTCGAATTTGAGGGTCGGATATGTAGTGTTTAAATGGTGTTCTATATGTAATTCGGCTTTATACGTTACATTCAAATGCGAGGTATCTGTATATTCGTTCGGAGCATCAACATTTGCCGGCCATATTTTTATTTGTTGCGTTGAGCAAAATTTGATAAAGATCCTTTGCAAAGAAGAACCCTCATGTGGATCAAAAGTTATTTATAAATTTGGATTGCTAAAAAAATCAACTAAGCTTTTTTTTCCTAATTAAAAAAAAAGATCTTTTTGTCCTGACCTTTTCCTTGTGTTTATTTATTTATCCCAGATTAAAGGTCAATTGGATCGATTGTATTTTTTTACGAGTCTATCGCTATAGAAGAATAAACTTCATGCAAACATCAAAAATTATTTACAAATTTCGATTGTTAAGAAAAATCAACTAAGCTAATTAAAAAAAAAATCCATTGGAACGGATTTTATTTGTTTTCTCCGAAAGGAAATTTTTCCTATACAGATCATCCACTATTTCTCAAATGGTCAATATCACATTGTTTGTTTATCGATCATTGAATTGACCGATAATAACAATAACAACAAAATAAAATCTAAAGGTGTTTTTGAATCCTGGTCTCGTGACCCGAAAAATATACTAACACTAACGTTGCGTGACAAATCTTTGACGATATGGGATCTGAGGTAAAGGCTCCAAGGCAAGGCCATAAGTTCTTGGTCATTTCAAACGATCCGAAACGCCAGAGCAAGACGAAGACTAATGGTAAACATCATGCAAAAAACATCTAAAGCGAAACTCGATTTCCTTTCGGTCACTCACCCTGACGTTTTGAACAAAAATAGATAATTTTTCCAAATAGATATACGTAAATGAGAATTCGCATGATATGGCGATGTAAAGATAACCATAACCCTTTATCATTTTTGGAAAACGAAAATATTTTTTAACGAGACTTTTTATAACAGAATGTTTCCATGCATTCAAATTGTTATAAAAAAATATATTACACAAAATATAATAACAATAATAAAAATTCACACAGAAATTACGACATTTAGAATATAACACGGCAACCTTCTTTTATTATTATTCTTAAAAAAATCTCCTCATTTATTAAAGCACCAAGTCGAATTTTATATTTATATTTTATAATGTCATATGTTAAATTATTATCATCATTATCACCAGAAAGAAAGAATTTTGTATATAAAATTGACAATGTGATGCGTAATAATGCTAATGTTAATTCTGATAGAGAAAGTAGAAAAGATTATTTTTTTTCATTAGTCAAAAAAAATGAGGAGATTGCTGAAAATGAAAATGAATTCTGTAAGGAAAGGTTTATTTATGAGTTTGAATTAATAAATGCAATATATAAATTGGGAAAACCAAAAGAATGTAACAAGTGTAAATTGACAAGATACTCTGATAGGTTCTGTGAAGGTTGTATTAGTTTACAATTACAGAGTCTTTTCACCACTTGGACATCTGGAAATAACATAATTGATGATTTTATTCAACAATGTCAAATGAAATCATCTCTGCCAGCCTACATTTTAGAATGGATACCTTTGAGCAATTTTATGATATAACAAAGTTGACAGAAGGCGGATTTAGTTCGATTTTTACTGCTACATGGACAAGAGGAACTATTGTTGATTATGACGAAAATAAAAAGGAATTTAGTTATTTTGGAGGTAGAGGTAAAAGAGTAATATTAAAAAAGTTTAAATGACTCAAGTAATCCAGGAAAAGCCTTTTTTGATGAGGTTGGTAGTTGTCATTTAAAACAATGCTGTATTATATAATACTAATTGATTTATATTCAATAGGCAATGAATTATTGTAAAATTAAATCAGAGTTGATTGTTGATTGCTTTGGTATAACTAAATTCCCAGATAATGGAAATTATGCAATTGTTTTATCTTATGTTCAAGAGGGAAATTTAAGGGATTATTTAGAAAAAAGTCATTTAACATTAAAAGACAGAATTACAATCTTTTATTATTTATGCTATGCATTAGATGATATACATCAAAAAGATTTAATCCATTGTGATTTACATAGTGGTAATATACTTGTGAAAGGAGGTAATTGTTATATTACAGATTTAGGATTATGTGGACCAATTGATGAAATGTCTTCAAATAAAGTCTATGGAATTGTATCATATGTTGCACCTGGGCTACTTAGAGGCAAAATTAATACAAAGAACACCAAAAAATCAGATATCTATAGTGTTGGGATGCTAATGTGGGAAATATTTGCAGGCCATCTACCATTTAATGATAGAGCTCACAATCATTGTTTGATTTTTGATATATGTGAAGGTTTACGACCACCAATACTACCTGGAATGCCTGATGATTATGTGCAAATGATGCAGAGGTGTTGGGATGTGGATCCATCAAAAAGACCAACTAGTGAAGAGCTTTGGACATTTGCTGAAAATAAATATGACGAAATTATTAAAAATAAAAATGATGATAATGGTAATCATACTACTAGTAGTGGTAGTGGTGCTTCGCAACAAGTACACAAATCACATCCAGATGCATATCATAAAAGTAGAATATTAGATGAAGAGATTGCTAAATCTAAAAGCTTGAAAATTTATACAAGTAATAGTTCGTTAAATAATCTTGATTGTACTCTTTTTTCTAAACGTTAACAAAGGTAAATAAAAATTTCACTACTTATTTATTAATTAGAAATCACTACTTATTAATTATTACCAACAATATTAATCAATTAGATTCTAGTAACAATAGTAAAAGAATTGATGAATGACTAATTCAATCTCCACTATAAATTTATTATCTTCTTTTTATTTATCTTTTTATCTCATCCTTATTTTATTTCTTATCTTGTAACAATACTTTGAAATAAAACTTTTTACAATTTTTCGATTCTCGTTAAATGGTGATATTGCGAGGTATCACTTTGACTAATTAACAATTATGGCTTAACTTTTGGGCTCTCTTGTCAATTAATTCGGTGCTTGTCAATAAATTAGTTTACGAATTTGGTTCCCTCTTTCTTGCACCTAGACGAAACTTCATGGTACCAGATAACAGTAAATAAATAAAAGATGGCCCTTTGCAATGCTATAAAGTCCTTTATTCGATTTGTTTCAGTTGTTTACCTTGTTTACATTTATTGGCCGATTGCAAACTCGCTTTGGTTTACTTGCAAAACAATGAAAGTAACTTGTTTAACAGCCTTACATTTATGATTACAATAATACTACCAGTACTTCCTATATTAACCTTTGGACGATACTCCATTAATACCCACCAGTTAATCAACGTTAGTCCTAACTCACTAAAGCAAATTAATAATTGTTAACACTCACTAGTTAACCAACATTAATCATAACCTTGCTTGCTTGCTACTAAAGCAAATAAATATGGCTTTTACCAAAGCACCACAATTGTTGCCTTTTACAAGCACCAATTATACTTGTTTCTTTTATCAACAAAGAAACGAGTTATTTTTATTTTATTTTTAAAAGTTTAACGATTAATAAAAATAATGATTCTGTCGCAGAGTTTTATTTTATTAGAATATTAATTATCCTCTGCGAAGACCAGAAGTTATCTTTAACGAAATTTTCATTGATCACTACAATAAGGATAAAGATAAAGATTGGATTATTATTGCAAAGTAACTTAATCCCTAATCAATGATTTTATCTCCCCAGATCATGTATCATGTTACTAATATTAATATAATAATAATAAATGTTCGAGTTTAGTAGTAGATGAATGCGTGGGAACTGAATTGTATTCAGCAAAGGAAGAACTTGGCCCCTTGGGAACAATGATGAAAAAAAGGGATACACAAGAAAAATGACCTTTGAATACATATTTACAAGTTTTTTTTGTGAGCTTTATATTTTATTAGCCTTTAAAGCAATTTGGTAACATTTCATCAAACAACATTACAAGTACACAAAACTTCCTTTTAACAAATTTCATGTCCTTGACTATTTTTTTGTTTCGCATTATTATAATTTTTTAAACGTGTTCAGAAAATAAATTCGCATTGACTATTATTATGAAGATATTCAGCAGTAAGGCTCCGAACGAATCAAATTGAATCAAACAGGATTACAACCACTAATTACATGCATGATTCAATAATATGAAATTTTGTTAAAAATACATGAATGCAATTTCACATGGACAAGCACAAAAAGGTAGATCAGTATTATAGGTTCTCAAACTCTCATAAAACAATCACCCAATTACTGTAGTGTTTTAGATAGTTATATCATCATGATGATAGGTCCCTTATTTGTAGATTTTTGGATCTCAAAATACTTATTACAGTTTTACTAAAAAAGTAATGCTTATTAGTGTAATCGATTAATTTTGGGAGGGCAACATTATTGTGAATTTATCGTGCAGCCCGCTATGATTTTGATCGTGTAACCTGACCCAATATTTTTCACGGTTATGACATAATCTAAGCAATATCGGTCGGTATTTTTAGTGGCAAGAAAGGATCTTTTTCAAAAAAAGCTTAATTAATTTTCTTTAACAATAATGGATTATTAATTCCCAAATTTTTTTAGTGGCAGGAAAAATATTTCTGGAAAAGGCTCAATTTTAATCAAGTGATTTCTTTTTCATTTTTTTTTTTTACGTTTTAAAAAAAATTTGGGAGTGATCAATTTATACAACGCAATCAATTTTCAATTCTTTCTAAACACCAAAATATTGCCAATCTTTTCTAAATTGTTACAAAGTATGTTGCACTGATTTGGTTGAGTTATGTATAAGTTTGATCGACAAATAAACAAAAAAAATAGATCGATTTGTAATCGCCGTGCAACACTTTTTAATTGATAATAAAAATGATATTTTATAAAAAATTTACATTAATATTATGCTCAACATTAATATTAACTGGATTTTATTATGATAATTTAGTATATTCAAATTATATCGCTCATTTTGAAATACCTCTCCATCAAAAACAAGTAAAAAAATTAGCAATAATTGGTAAACAAGTCAAAAAAATATAAATATCTTTTTTTTTTTCAAATAAATAAATCGATATATTTAAAGGTCAATTATCATCATTTTAGGTGCGGGAGCTGGTGGTTCTTCAGCTTCTTATTGGTTGAAAGAAGCATTTACCAATTCTAGCTTAAATGTTAATACAACAGTCTATGAACAATCATCAATAGTCGGTGGACGTGCTAAAACCATTAAATTTGAATATAATGGAGAAAAGTTCAATATTGAATTGGGTGCGACATTATTTATTGATGATAATTATAATATGTTTAATTCAGCAAAAAAATTTGGATTGGAATTTATTAAACCCGGTGAAGAAGTACCTGATGCAAGATTCGGAATGTAAGTTTCGATATATTAATAGTAATTAATTAATTAGAAAACTAAATTACAAAAATTGGTTATATTTGTTATTAGATGGACTGGTGAAAAATTTATATTTGAAGAATCATCTCATTCTTATTGGAACTTGATAAAAATAATATGGAAATATGGAATTGCTCCATTTAAAGTAATTGTTTCTTTGTAAAATGATAAAATAATAAATAATTATAATTATAGTTATTATTTATCATTACTTTTTTTGTTTAAAAATATAGGTTAAAAGTTTAGTTAGAGAAACCATAAAAGCATTTTTAGGAATTTATGAATTTGAAAAACCATTTACAAGTATTGAATCTGCAGCAAAGCGTCTAAATATTCATTCACTACAAACACTTACGGGTGATTATTATTTTTCTGAAATCAAAAAAATAAATAAAAATTACATTTACGATTTTATAGAACCAGCTGTACGTGCCAATTATGGACAAAATATAAGTGATATTCATGCAATTGGAACCTTTATTAGTTTGGCACCTCAAGGAGCAAAAGGAATTAAAGGAGGAAATTTTCTATTATTTGAAAAATTCATTGAAAATTCAGGAGCAAATCTCCAACTAAATTCCAAAGTTATAAAAATAAAAAAATTACCAGAAAAATCATCAATTGATACTATAGATAGCTCAAAATATTTAGTTTATACTAAAAGTGGAACTATTGAAGAATACGATGGAATTATTTTAGCAACCCCGATTGTAAAGTATCTTTTATTTTTATTTTTATTAATTGATTAGTAATATCTATGTTTATTTACATTTATTTATTTAACTTTAGCAATTTTCAGGGATAACTTTTGAAAACATTTTTAACATTCCAAAAATTCCAAAAATCCCGTATGTAACACTTCATGTAACATTAGTTATTGGAAATTTAAATCCTAATTATTTTGGTAAAAAGTCGTTTGATGATCTGCCATTACAAATTTTAACGACGAATGGTCCAAAAGTGGATTTTTTGGTTCTTGGAACAAGAAAAAGATTGGATAACGGAGAAACAATTAATAAATTTTTTACCAGAAATCATTTATCAGATGAAGTTTTAAATAAAATATATTTGAACAAATCTTGGATTTATCGAAAAGTTTGGAAATCTTATCCAAAATTATTGCCAAATCAAACATTCCCGCCTTTGGAAATTGACGAAAATTTCTTTTACGTTAATAGTTTCGAGCCATTTATTTCTGTGAGTTGTTTAATTTATCATGATTTTTTGAGAGATTTATAAATAATCTTTTATTTGCCTTTTTATCAGACTATGGAAACTGAAACTGTTTCAAGCAAGAATATCGTCGACATAATAACAAAAAAATTTTCACCATAATCAATGTTTCACAGTTCAATTTTTAGGGTATTTAAATAATATCAATTTTCAGGGAGTTATTATCAAAGTCGCGTGTTGGTTACTCGTTTTCTAAAAATTGTTCAACTATATAATTATGTTTTTCCCTAAAACAGATTTTTTTATTGTTTTTGTTTACGTGCATATAATAAACATCTCCTAAATTTAACAAATATTTGCGTATATATAACAAACAAATCAATGAACTTCAATGTGACACACATTATATTGACACGAGAATAATATAAAATCGTAAATTTTTCGTTCACATATTTTTAATTCCTACAAACCTTCCCTCTTTACTTTTATTTTTTTTCTATTACTACTATTCATCATCATCGTCATCATATCATAATCACCATCACCTTTCAATCCTTTTTGTCTAATACTAGTAGTATTATATTTCGATCCTTTTTTTTTTTTTTTTTAAAAAATCCAAATCGTTAAATAGAAAAATGAATAATTCAAATAAACAAATAAAATGAATAATTCAAATAATTTGTATAATCAATTTCTTTATCTGAGTCTTTTTCACTTGATGCATATTCTAAATTTTTATTCAATTTGTTACTTGACTTTGTTTTTGTTTGCTTATTTAGTCTTGGAATTTTTTAATTGGAAGAATGTAAATGTGTTAATAATGTATTGTTTGTTGATTGTTTATAAAAATATGTCTGAACTAGTGTCCCTATTCGAATATTCACATTAATATTAATTAGCATATTCGAAATTGGTGTCAAATAATTTTTATATATTCGAATATCCATAACACTTTCGACTTTCGAATATTTGTGTAATAATAATAATTTACGTTATAATTAAATCATGATAAATGTATATAACGATTTATAAAGAATTAGTCCAAACATTACAAGTCAAACAAATTATTTAGAAAAATTTGGATAGTTAAACACCAATTATCATGCATATAGGCATATGCTCAGTAAAAATGCAGTTTTTATATTTTTAAAAAAATTTATATATTTAATTACATGAAATGTTGTTACATTAATAAAAAAAATAAAGTATACTGTATATATATATTAATTAAAACATATAATATCTGAAAGTATTAGTATTGGTTTGAAATTGTTACGGATAAGAATAGGAACACTAGTACTAGTCTGAACTTTTATAATTCGTTCTGATCACATGTTTAGATATTTTTACTAAATAAGAAAGATCATCTTGTGTCAGTTTCATTTTTGATGCAACTTCGGATCGCCAAGCTTTTTTAGGACCCCGAACAAATCTTAGGAGATGGTATAGTGCAGGACACCTAGTCCCACAACTTTTTATTAATCTTGTATATCCTTTAGTATACCAGAAATGGAAATGTAACACCAAAAAAACAAAACATGATTTTGAAGCTAAGACCTTTCTCCACAAAGCTACGATTTCATTTTGTTGATATGTCACATTACCATGGAGAGATCAAGCCTCAAAGTTGCACAAGTTTACTATGTTAAGCCCAAAACTGTCGCGTTACACGCGATTTATATATATATAAAAATGAACAAATTGAAACAAAATAAAAGTTTTTGAATTTTTAGTTGATGATCACATCCATATTAGGTAACCCAATGTTTATTCTTATTGCCGATTTTACTATTTATGGAATGACTAGGAAATATCACATGACAAAACAATTTTTATTGCATTTTTGATTGGAAATTTTTTCCCAAAATTCGTCGTCGTGGCGCAGTAAATTGCGGGATTAGGTGTCCTGCACTGTACATTTGTAATTTTCTTAATCTGTGACCCGTTGACCTAACGGGTCGGGTTGGGTCAACTGTTTAAAAGTTCGAGTCGGGTCAGGTTGAACCACTGACCTGACCCGACCCGAGTCGTTCGGAGCTCTACTATATTCAACATCTTTACAATTTGTTGGAAATTTATTTAGTATTATATGGGATATTTTTTTCCATCCTCTGTTTAGAAGATCCAACAAAAGGTTTATTCTCCAAGGCTTAGGCTTTTGAGCCAAAACCTTATTTGGTCCAAAAATAGAATGATACATCTTGTTAAAAAACTCCCAATGAATTAATACCACATGTTCCCTCGAATTCAATGAAACATGTAAAGGGCCAATTAAAGGTATAAAATTTTTAATAATATTTTTTAGCATTTTGACTCCTTATTTTAGTTATTGCCTTCATAATAAATAGCTGACCAGGCCAATCTGCTGAAACAGGTATTATATTATTTACTAAATATCTAGAAATACTTTCTATTTTGCTTATTGACGTTAAAACATTTACATAATCATCTAATGAATGTAGATTGCTCTCTTGGAATTGAACTATCCTTGTTCCTATCATAGATCTATCCTGTTGTCTTTCAACAATTAAGGGATCGTAGAAATGAATAGTAAGTGATTCTGTTCTATTGGACTCTAAAAATTGCTGTGCACTCGAAGAGATCCATTTTATTTTTCTATCATTGTAACTTGATCAAGTACCCCTTTAAAATTATGTATTAACTGATAGTTTATTCTGTGTGCTTCAATGTTATTAGGATTAAAAATAGATATTTCATTGTAAATTTCAGGAATTGGTCTGCATTCAATTTTTTTTTGACACACAAGTTGCCATATAGATTGCAGTAGATAAAGTTGTAGTGTTTGGTAACCCCTAACCATGTATATTATGAAAATCATCAAGGTTGAAACAGAACAAGTTATTTATCTAAAATTTAAGTACATACTTAATAAGCTTTTTTAAATTTAATGTTACAATTATTATTAAGTTATCTAATCACTTACATTTTCATTGAAGTACTCATTAATTTTTTCTGGGTGACTTTTTGCTAATTGTTTTTTATAATTTTCAATAGTTTTATAGGAAGTTTTTACCCCAATTTTAGACAAAGTATCTATGGCAGTACAACTTGCTCCAGCACCAACAAGATATAGGCCAATATCAAGTTTTATGGAATTAATGAATTTGTTGCGTAAACCTGCTAGCAAGTAACAAAATGTAATGATTGATTTTTTTGCATCTTCTTTGTTTTTCTCCTTTCTTTCTGTTGGAATAATTGCATTGACCATTTCATCAAAAAACCCATCTAATCTGCTATCTTGATTTTTTATCATATCAGAGAATTTCTCAGGGTCCAATTCAACACTACCTTTGAATTTTCTTTGTTGATCATAAAGGACTTTGCTTAAAACTTTGATTTTTGATCCAAAAGTAACTATATAATATAATAATTTAATTGATTAGTCACTTGATTAATTTTTAATTTAAGAAAATAAAAAAGAATTACCATCATTAACATCTTTATCTGTTATATGAACACTAGAATCTTCATGTACATCAGTGTGACATGTTATATTGTCTAGTTGTAATTTTATTTGGTTTATATTATCAACTAATAATGAAAAATCTTCTTTTGATACAATAACATTTTCTTCATCAAAATTAAGTTTAATTTTAGACCAATCTAATTCATCAGTTGACTTGCTAGATGAAGGTTCACCATATAATTTATCTGTCATCACTTGAACATTCTCATTATTTAATGATTCACTAGATTTTCTTTTCTTTTTTTTATCATGTCTATCTGGTTCAACTATTTCCATGTAATGTGTATAACATAATTGATCACCCTCCTTTATAAAGTCATATTGTCTTTCAGAATTTTTATCTCTTATTTTTTCAATAGTATAACTGGTCATTTTATTAAATTTGACAGCAGTATTTTTGCAATCAGATATTATACATGGACCAAGATTTTTTGCTTTTGGCATAGTTGATTTTAATGGGATTTGGTTAATGTTTAATAATTTTTATTTTTTATTTTATTATTTTATTTTCAACATGAGATTTTACAAAACAAAATTTGCAGTGTTTAAATATTTGAAAAAAAAACAATGATTTACAAGTTATAATAAACAAAAGAACCTTTATTTTAACAAAAGAAATAAAGAATATTAACAAAAGAAAATGAATTTGTTGTAATATCAATAAAAGAAAATAAATTCATTGTAATATCTAACCAACAAAAGAAAATGAAATATTAATTAACAAAGAAAATGAATTTGTAATATTATCAACAAAAGAAAATGAAATATTAATTAACAAAAAGAAAATGAATTTGTAATATTATCAACAAAAAGAAAATGAAATATTAATTAACAAAAGAAATGAATTTGTAATATTATCAACAAAAGAAAAACAAGAATTCATTATGACATTAACAAAAAAAAATGAAAGATTACTAACAAAAGTCAACAAATTTGTAGTAATAGCAACAAAAGAAAACGAAATATCAACTAACAAAAAGAAAAACTAAAGAATTCATTGTGATGTTGCATTCGTTGTAATATTAATACTAATATAAAAATATATGTTACATGGAAATCAAATGTAATGTGATAATTGCGAATGTTGATCAAAATAGAATTTCCACTATGCTACGTGTATTTGGTGTCCTATTTACAGTTAACCCCCTAAATGCACCCCCCTTAGGAATGTGCATTTAGGGAATTAAAGCATTTTATTGGCTATTGGTGACTAATGTGACACTAATTAAAATTTTTTAAAAATTCAACATGAATCTATCTATTGTAATTTGTTCCATTGTATTTATTTTTTTTAAGTTAATATATTTTTCAAGAGAATTAACTGATTTTGCTTGTTCATTGTATGGACAATTTCCAAACTTGTTAACTATGGTAGAAATAGGTTGATAAGAATGTTAGTTAAAATGGTTTTTGAAAAAATCAATTTTGGTAAGCAATTTTGGATTTACAATATTCTTTGTATCAATAGACATAAAAAATCTACCCAGCCTTTTAATATTTAATTAAAGAGTCCAAATAATTTCAGATATAATTTTGGCAACTAATAAAATTAACTTCAGCATTTATGAAAAACTATTTCACCATTATTAAGAGAGCCAACTTAAGCTTACACTTGACTCAATTGAGTGCAATTAATTGAGTCATATGAAAAACATATAAGTAATTGAGTCAAGTC